GAAGATACCACCTCTGCTCAGTCTACGATAAGACACATTTGTACTAATATACTAGTTATTACTTCTACACAATTGTTAGGAGTAGTAGTAAGAGGTACTTAGTACCGTACTATACTTCTTTATACTTTTTCAACTTTATGGTTAAAGAAAGTGATCAACTCTATTTATTAAACTATAATAAATATTGTCCCCTTGCATTGCAGTTTGCACACAGCGAATGTACCTTTCTATTTTCCTTCATTCACAAGAGGTTGTTATGCCACTGTTTGAAAACAGATAATACAAGAAAATGTATTTGAGTTTTTGGCTCTCCTCCGAACTTTACCCCCGCAGTATTGCGGCTTGAAATATCCGTTCAGGGCGCAGTCTAATTAAAAATACGGACTTGTCGGAGTTTCCGCCGAGGAACAAACTGCTGCAAAACTAGGAATACCTTACAATGTCACGAGACGCAACATTGCAGACGATAGTAGCAGACGATAAAAGCGACCGGTGACAATGTCAAGCGTTTTCTGCAGACGATACTAGCAGATTATAAAAGCGACTGTTGACAATTTCGAGACATTACAGACGATGAAAGCGGTATGGTGAGTAGACCACATGCTCCCATGCAGATTAGCAATACTGTTCTTCCGATTGAGGATTTAGCAGCGGTAGATGTCAGACTTGTCGGCATGCGCAAAACGCGATTAAACTCACCGCCGATGGTATCCCCCGCGCCGCTACGCGCGGCACGGATGGCGGTCTAAACTAGGTGCCTGGGACTCACGAGCAAAGTAATTGGAGGAAGTTGCACTAGATGCGGTAGCTACCGCTTGTGAGTCCCAGCCATCTAGTTTAGCCCCTATCCGCACCGCGTCGACGGTGAGGCATAGTCACAGAAACAGGTCTGCAAGTAACATATCGCTGAGACCCTGTTAGAGCATTTGTTTAGTTTTTCCGAGCCAATCCTAGATTTGCCGCGATTTGTTCGTCGGTAGAAAGTTCGACAATGGAAAGTGTCAACGGTCGCTATTATCGTCGTCTGCTACTATCGTCTGCAGTGTTGCGTCTCTTAGAATTGTCAGGTAATCAGAAACAATTAGAAACAGGTCCTCAAGTAACATATCGCTGAGACCCTGTTAAAGCATTTGTTTCGTTATACGGAGCCGGCATATTTTTAATTGGATTGCGCCCCGAACGGATATTTCAGGCCGCAATACTGAGGGGGTAGAAGTTCGGAGGAGAGCCGACTTTTTACTACATTAAAGTGGCTCTGTAGTCTGTTTTTCCCTAGACAGTGAGACATAATTCCACAAGAATGTTGTGTAGGGAGATGAAAAGAAACCTGGACTAATTTTAAAATGAATCAGTCATTACTGAATCATTATCATTTCATCATCCCCTTGTGCTTTTATTCGTCACATAGGAGTCAGAATTATGACAATCTATTTCCTCCATTCCGTTCTTCATTTTGATGTCATGGATAGTTTCCTTTCGATGTCCTCAGCCCAGCATATTGTATCCCATCAACATTCATTCTTCTTAGGCTTTCTCTTGGGCATCCGTACTTCCACAGTAGGGGTTTATTTGCTTGCAGTCTCAGTGCCTGTATGTTGATGCTCTGTCCACTTTTCCTCATGGTGCGCTCAATTTATCACCATCTGATTTTACTTACAACTGTTGATAGCAGCAGTTGCTAAAATGACTGTAGCATGATAATTAATCTTGCATAAGTTCTTTTGTTGAAACTTTTAAAAACTTATGTCGTCTGCACATTATTTTTGATTCTTTGTGTTTATGGCTATACACGTTGCTACCTAAATATATAACTTACTTTGTTATTGATCAGTGTGTTCAGTTCATTTGTGTGTGTGGGTTAATAAGTATTGAGCAAATGATATAATATATATAAAATCAAATGCCTTCTATACCTTTTATATACATGCCCAGTGATGCATTCATTTGGGTCATGAATAATTTGTTTACTTGCAAGTTAAACATTTACCTATTAAATGTTTTACCAGTTTTAAAATCATTTGCCTGCCACTGTGTTTTTGTTTGCACATACAAACTGATTGTGATAACTTATATTGTAATATAATGACTCACCAGTATTGACATTGTGTATCTTTAGTAGTGGTAGCAATAGCAAGAGTAGTAGTTGTGTGAAAAATATTTCTTGTTTAACCTGTAGGATTATAATAAATAGTGTTTAGTGTATTTTCTTTTCTGAAATGGACATTTGGTGTTTTTTTGTCTTTCCAACTTATACTGTTGGATTTTTAATAGTTCCTGAATATTAATATGAAGTATTACTTCTGGTTTAACTTATATTTACATTCTGTTTATTTTTTTGAGTGTATTTAGAGATTTTCAATACATTGCTTGAATTATTATTACTGTTTGTTGCTGTATATATTCCCTGAATGTACAGCTGTTTTTGTTCTTGTGATATGCTGTTTACTGCGTCCTTGCATCTCCTTATATTTATCTTTCTTTAACATCACTTTCCATCGTCATAGGCTTATTGTAGTGGGTCATATATTTTTTTTACGTTAGTAAATAATACTCAGTATTATTATGCTACTAACATTCTGTTTGGATGTGTACTATTAGGACTTAAACATTTTTTTTTCCTTATCACATGCTAAAGATTTTTGTATTTTTGTTAAAGAGCTCAAAATAAAGATTACTACTGTACGTCTTAAAAAAACAACAGATCTCACCCACGTTTGTACATTTCCAAAGAGTCTTTTAACAACTGCTCGTACCCATTATGAAATAATTTAATACCCTGTACAGCTTTATGCAGATTTCTGAGGTCAACAGTCAAAGTTTGGGAACATCGCAACAAAAAAGAAATTGGATCGTCGGAAAACAAAACCATGATGCTGATGTGATCGTCACTGCAACTATGTAGTTTGTGTTTGTGTGACACTCTTATATAAAAAAAACACGTGCATATTCAAATAAAATATTGTGTCATCAAACTTTCAAAGCAATCGGTGAAGAACTTTCGGCATACAACTTCATGCAGATTTCTGAGGTCAACAGTCGAAGTTGGCCCACCAGTGAAAACCAGTGCTGGGAACGCGGCAACGAAAAAACCCTCTGTGGTCATCACTGGTACTGTGTAGTTCTGCTTTGTGCAACACTCTTATATCAAAACTCGTGTGTTTAATGCAATGTTGTCTCAAAATTTGAAAGCAATCGGCGAGGAACTTTAGAAGATTACCTGTCACTAAAAAAACATACATTTACATTTTTATTTTTTTTTGATAAGCCACTAGACATTGTAGCCTATAGTACATTTTTTTTTAAACAAGAAATTTTAAGTTCATTTGTTGCTTGACATGTTTAAGTTGACAGCAAAAAAGGCACGAAACTGCGATTTTAAAAGTAAACAGTGTTGTATACTGTAAACATACTTCTTTAAAAGTGAAACTGTATTCATGCCTTGCTCATTTTAAAAAAACGTCTTTCTGTGCCAAGTAAATCAGCATGGATCGCTTGAAAACTCCTTACGTAGTTTAGTTTTTGTAATGCCTTTTGTCAAGTCCACTTTTTAGATTCTCTAGAATATAATCGAATTTTCTGGTGTGGATTCTGCAACCCCATTTTGGGAAAAACAAAAAAGATAGATCTACTGCTCCTCTAACAAGCATCTCATGAAAGGTGACTGATTAGGGCAGTTTCTTTCAAAGTCAGAGTGCATCTGCCTGAGAGGTGAGGAACCAACAGTCTGCATACAAATAAGCCATATTTATAAAATATATGTGCATGTCAAACTCAAAGTTCTGGAACAAAACCAGATTAGTGAAGTGGACAAACAGCCAGAACTTTCCGCCAGAGTTTACAGCTGGTGAGCGCTAGGAAGAGCATCCTCCCATGGGTTCCTGCCCTCCATTATGGGAGAGAAAAGAATAGATCCACTGCTCCCTAGCAAGCATGTAGTAAAAGTCTACTAATTAGAAGTGTTTCATTTGAAGTTAAGTGTGTCTGCCTAAGAGGCAAGGAACCAACAGTCTGCTTATAAATAAGCAAAATCTGTAAAAATGGATGTGCATGCAAAACTGAAGTTCAGGAACAGAAACAAAGTCCGGAAGTGGGTCAGCAGTTAGAAATTTCTGCTGGGGTTTACAGCCAGTAAGCACTAGGTAGGAGAAGAATAGAATTCTGAACCGTATCCAAAATAACGTTTGGCTGCAGTGGACCCACTGCTGTCTTTGGGAACACTACGAATTTTAGCCTGTATCCCCTTTCTGTTTCTGGCAGCTGCCATGGTATAGCGGCTATATGATCATCGGCGGATCTGAAGGTTGTGGTTTGATGGAACCTTTTTCAAAAATGACCTTGGCTCCCAAGTGGACCAGGTCTTATTACAAGTCCTGGGAAGTAAAGGCTGCTGGCGTGATGCTGATCTTATTACCCACCAAGTGCTAATTGGCCTATAAAATATATAGATCTAGCCCTATATGCCCAATACAGCTGAAGGCGTGAAAAAGGGGCAGTTACTTTTACTCTCTGATACACCTGTCAGTACCTGTTTCTTGAGGTAAGACTACATATAGTAAGTTAGCCACATTGATTGACACTATCTGTAAACTTTGGCAGAAAGTTCTAGTTGTTCGTCCACTTTTTTGACTGCAGTCCTGTTCCAGAACCTGAGTGTTGTGTGTGCATCTGACCTATTTGTATGCAGACTGCTGGTTCCTTGCCTCTCAGGCAGATGCACTCCGACTTCTTACAACATGCTTTTGGGTAGGCAGTGGGTCTATTCTTGTTTTCCCTATAAACTGTATAACTCATGTTTTGGTAGAATCATTGTTGATTGCATTCTCCACCTTTCTTTTTTTTTCTCCAGACCACACCATCATCATGCTGTGAGACATGTGGTACCAAATGTTGTCAGCAGATGAGTTAACAACGGAGCAGAGTATTGCACTCGGATTTTAGAAAGTTGTTCAGTCTTGAAATTAACGAAACTTTCATAAAGTTCTGAAATAGTAGGTAAGAAGATGCCGGCCATTCGAAGAACACTTAAAAATGCAATCAAGAACTATTCAGATGCTCAGGTAAAAGTACGAGAAGCAACATCCAACGATCCATGGGGTCCTTCAAGTACATTGATGACAGAGATCGCAGACCTGACTTACAATGTTGTAGCTTTCACAGAAATCATGCAGATGATCTGGAAACGCCTTAATGATGATGGCAAGAACTGGCGACATGTTTACAAATCCTTGGTTGTTCTCGACTACATCATTAAGACTGGCAGTGAAAAAGTGAGTTATTTGTTAAGATAAATTAGCTTTGCTTCATGTGTGTCACTGTCTTTTTGAAGTTAAATTAAAAATTTTAGGTCATCATCTTTATCTATTCTTCTTCTTCTTCTTCTTCTTCTTCTTCTTCTTCTTCTTCTTCTTCTTCTTCTTCTTCTTCTTCTTCTTCTTCTTCTGTACATTCACTTGTGGAAAGTTCTGCTTGCTTGTCCACCTCTAGAATTTAGTCTTGTTCCAGAATCTGAGTGTTGGGTGCACATCCTTTCAACAGATCTGACTTAATTGTGTGCATATTGTTGGTTCCTTGCCTCTATTTCAGATGCATTCTGACTTCAAAGAAAGCCCTCAATTAGTCGACTCTTACGTCATGCTTGTTGGGAAGGCAGTGGGTCTGTTTTGGTTTTCCACATGCTGGGGCTCCAGAACTCTTCTTGCTGATTGGTGTGGGCAGTCACTCTGTCAGAAAGTTTTTGTGCTGATACCCCTCCATACCGTGTCACATGGCTGTTCAAGAATCTTCTCACATTATCTCCCTCTGCACTCTTTCAGCAAGTTTTTTTCCAGTTGTCACATGTTCTAGTTTCTATCTTCGCATAATGTGGCTAAACAGTCATCGCTGTCTCTTTATGATGTTTGTGATAGTTGCCATTGAGCCCTCTCATTTTATTGTAAACCATCTGGGTTTATCATTTTTGTTGTTAAAGGAATTTTAACTACTATAAACAATCACAGTAGTAGTAGTATATTTTACCCCACCAGGACATCACACAGAGCTATAAACACCCGATGACACAAAGTGCCACCATGCGGATGAGGATCACGCGTGGAGAGGTTCTGGAAACCGCGTTCAGCTGTCAGGCTAAATTTGCGGCCCCTGACAAGAGCCAGGGTGGGGCTTTAAAATAATGAAAAATTGCATCACACGAGGGGATGACGATGTTATAAATATTAAACAATCACAGTTGTATAACTTGTGTAAGTCAGAGTGCATAGAGATTGGAATTAACCACACAGGAAGCCAGATTTCAGTAGCATTCTCTGACCAAATGTGAACAGTGAAAGAACACAATATTTAATACTTTGGATACAGTTAAAAGAGCCATTGACACATCCTGCATTGCTTGGGACTCAATGAGTGAAGCATTTTTTTTTTAATTATTTAAAAAAAAAAATAAACACCACATCTCTAAGGCATCAGAAAATTGTCTGACTATGGAAAGTTATGTCTGGCTTTGTATAGCATGGGCCGTGTTAACCTTGCACAACAGAGATTTATTGCATTGTGTTTGTTTTGTAATATGCAGTTTTTGCCTATCCTATTCTGTTCTTAATCTTAGTGTTTGAAGTAGACATATTATTGTTATTCTATTTCGTAACTTTCTTTTCAAGATTTTCCTGTTCTAACCCATGAAAGTAATTCAGTTCAAAGAATGGGACATCATTTTTTAGACACCAATCCACTGTTTATTAATTGTGATGACTGCTTTTAAACTTATTGTTGGGAAAATAATTTGGTGGTTCCCCTTTCTTTCCACATCCACCAACGAGATAACATGTTATGAAGTTGAACACTGCTGTGGGAGTTAAGGTTAGCAGTGTTCATTATAAATCCTTCTACAGAACGTTGTAAACAGACCCCAAAATTTTTTTAAGCCATTTTAGGTTTTACTAGACAGATCAGCGTTCACTAGTTTGTCACTGCTTCCTGAAGGGTGAACACTAATATTCACAGACGAGCATCCAGCCGCTACACCACGGCGTCTCCTAGGCGTTGCTAATGCAGTTTGTAATTTCGAGATACCTAGTTCAGTTCCAGCTGCAGTCATTTTGGCAGTGACTGCTTTGCGTTGATTTCAACGTTGGTTTTGAGAACTGATCATTCAGAAAGCAGTGGGAAAACTCCTGAACGTTGAAATAAAAAATGCCTAGTAAAACCATAAATAGCACACACACACACCCCCCCCCCCCCCCCCCCCCCCCCCCCCCCAAAAAAAAAAAAAAAAAAAACTGTTGGTTTGTAGTGTCCTGTAAAGAATGCCCAAGTAACTTCATTTTCTCCACAAATGTTTCAGGTTGCTCAACAATGTAAAGAGAATTTCCATGCCATAAAAACCTTGACGACCTTTCAGTACATTGATGCTGACAACAAAGATCAGGGCATGAATGTTCGAGAAAAAGCCAAACAGCTTGTTTCCATGTTATCAGATGATGAGAGGTTGAAAAATGAACGAGCAAAGGCTCTGAAAGCAAAAGAAAGATTTGCACAGAATGCTATGGGAGTGGGAAATGGTCATGGGACTAGATCAACCAGAGTAAGTAATAGTTTCGCTTTCATACTTTTTTACTTAAAATATTGTGGGCCTGACTGGCATTAGTTGTGTATAGTAATATTTCATGACTTTTTTGGGTTTCATACAGGGTTCATAGCCGATCTTGAGACCGTGAAAAAGTTGGGAACTGCACGATCCCTCTCAAGGCCTTGAAAAACAAAAAGATAATTTTGTGTCATTTTCGGCAATCTTTAAATTGATTATTGGTAAACCGCACGGGCAGTGCTATTATTCCTGATAAATCACCACAAGGTAGACTTTGACACTAAAGCATGGAGATATGCCAGCCCTTGGGATTCATTATAGGAACACAGACTGCTTTGGCGTGCCGGCCAGAACGTTTATGACCAGGTCATACAGACACAGAAATCCTGTTAATCTCTCCTGTAGATACAGCGAGAGGACTGACAGTAGCATCGAGGTATGCCAGGACCATCTTGGGAAAGCGCTGGAAATGGAGATTAGAACATGGGTCGGGCAACAACCCTGGAGGTATTGACAGTCAAAGGAGATTAATCTTACCTTTAAATAAGACGGGACCAACAGAGACAAAATCTAGGAAGAGAGAGATGAACAGATGCACACAGAGATGAGAGTGGGGTGGGAAATCACATGGGCTTGGTGAAGAAATGAGGAGAGAGAGATCAAGAGAGTTGGAGCCAGGTGTCTTAGCCGGGCGGTCGCAACATTAGGCCTTGAGTTTGTGAACAGAGCTGTTTACTGTATGGCAGAGAGCTACCTTCGTTAAAAGAAGTAACACCTCGAGTTAGAAGTACTTGTGAAGCATACGTATACAGGAACAATAACCTGAAGTGTTTGTCATCACTGTACTTTGGAAATAGTGTCATACTTGATTGTGCATTATGTTATTTTAAAAAAAAACCTTAAACTGATATGAATAATTTGTTTGATCACTGGCCGTGTTGTTAAACACAAGAGTTGAGTTGAGTCAAGAATTTATATTTATTTATATGTACATCTTGCCTTTCCTCTGAGTGTAGTGAGCCAGCCAGACCCTCTGGTTACACCCAGGTGCCTCATTCTTTCCAGGCTATAATAATCTTGCTTCTCTACTGATTCCGTTGCTTGTTCCCAAACGGCCTTGACCACATCTGCCTTGTCATATATCAATTCATCACCCAGTGGTGCAGATCCAGCCAATCTGTCTGCCTGTTCATTACTCACTACGCCTGCATAGTCTGGAGAAAAGATCCACAGTATGCTCACTACCAGTGACCTTTTAAGTAAAGCTTGCCACTTTGCTCTAAGCAATCCTGTCTTCACCTTTCTCAGCATGCTTTCAGAGTCTGTTAACAATTACGACATGTGTATGCATCTTGTTCTCTAGCCACTGGAGAGCTGCAGTTACCGCCTGCATCTCCATTTGAGGATGACAGATGACAATTTCCAGGGATCGCCAGAAACACTTGCACTCAGAGACTAAATGATATAACCCAAAACTGAACTGACAAATTTAAGAAACCAAGGTTAATGTTTGAATCACTTTACTAAGAGACCCCTAAGGAATTTTATTACAACCGAGAGATGCAGCAGGTCTAGTCTTTATTTATTCTTGTCTCCTCTCATGTTATTCTGTGTGTGTCTTTAAGAAGTTGGTTGTGTATCCTTTACAGGACATTGCAGAACCAACCCCAGCGGTTTTTTGTTGTTGTTGTGGATTTTATGTTCAGTAGTTTGCCATTGCTTACTAAATGGTCAGCTCTCAGTACTACTGGTTAAATCAATGCAAGACAAACCGTCCGCAGCTGGGATTGACCTAGCAACCCGGCACTACGAAGCGGGTTTGCAGCGCCCAAGTCACAGACCCCGTGTTTCTTTACTGTTGTTAATATCATTGTTCAGATGTATGACTGCTGATGTGCTTCTTCACTGTTGTTTACATTGGTCTGGTATATAACTGTTGACATTGTTCTTGACTCTGCAGGTTCGAATGGCCGGCAGTCCAACAGGAGTTGGCTATCAGGACTCATTTGGATATCCAGACTGTATGTTTGACATTTCAGTTTTTTAACTTTAAAATATTTATTTTCAAAGCTCATAAGTTATTTATTTCAATCAAAATTACTGCACATTTGGCATTTCCATTTGTGCTTAGTTCTCTGTTGCACCCCCGGTTCTTCTTATAGACTGACCGCTCCCATGCAAAGTTGGTCATAATGTCTTATCTTGACATGAAAGATGGCGTAGATAAAGATCCATATCTTCTAGTGTAACTCACAATTAGCTGGTTTATTTCTAATGCACTTGATTACAACACACAGCTGTTTAACATATTCATATTTTATTTCATCTTTCTTTTCCAAAAACCTTTGATGAGGGAAAGAGTAGTAGGTGGATTTAGTTATGGTGGGGGGGGGGGATCAAAGACTATTTCTATATCTGAGCAGACAATGATTGTATTAGACACGTGCGATTTCTATTTTCTTTCATTTCCATTTAGCCAAACTATGCCACAGCAATGCGTGGCCGGGTACAGCTAGTAACATATAAAGCACAGATAAAGACCAGCTGTCTTATATGGCTGTGAAATGAATCCTTATTACAAACCACCACTAGAACAGTCTTAAAACAAATATTTTGACACATTAGAGATGCTGAGAAGACTGGAGAATGGGAATCAATACTTCTTAACATTCTTACAGCAATACTTTCCAAATAATTGTTATGTTTCAGAAAGAACAGAAGAGTAATAATTTGTGTGTCTTTATTTTGCTCAGCATCACCCGGTAGTGGGAGTGCGGGCACCCCTTCAGAGATAGAAAATGCACGTCCTTCGTCAGCAGGAGAGGAAGAACTACAATTGCAGCTGGCCCTGGCAATGAGCAAAGAAGAGCATGAAGAAGCTGTTCGCAAACAAAAATCTGACGACATCAAGTTACAGATGGCAATTGAGCAGAGCAAAGAAGAGGCGAGAAATGTGAATAGTCATTGTTTCTCTTTTCTGTCTTACTTTCAGGGATTTTTTTTCCTAGAAGAAAAATGTGCAGGTATACCAAAAAGTGTCTGTCACAATAGCGCTATACTAGTGATGCCTAAGAGTAGGTGTGTGTACTTTTGCTTACCACCTTTAATGTTTCTCTGTTTGTAATTGTCTCTTTTTTTTAAATAAACAGTTTTTTTGTGAGTGTTCTGGGGTCTACTTGGGGGGGGGGGGGGGGGGGGGTTTAGACCCACTGCTACTGTAACAAGCATATTGTAAAAGGCAAATAATTTACAATTGTTTCGTTTAAAGTTGGGATGCATCTGCCTGAGAGGGGAGGAACCAACAGTCTGCATACAAATAAGCCAGATCTGAAATTGAATGATCATGCAAAACTCCCAAGTTCTGGAACAGGACCAAAGTCCAGAAGTGGATAAACTGCCAGAACTTTCTGCTGGAGTTTATAGAGGGTGAACACTAAGCAGAAGGCAAAGATTAGTGATCAGTATTGTATGTACAACATCATTGTATGTATCATCTGTTGAAGGCAGCTTTACTAACATTATGGCCCCTAATCAGTGTATCTTTGTGGTTTAACTCCTTTGTTACCATTCGGCTCATCATACACTCATCTGGTGGTCCAGAGACAGTACACATTTCTTCCTCTTGCTTCTTTTTGTCCTCCCTGCCAGTGATTTTCAGATGAGAAGGCCAGAGTTCTCTGTGAAGTCTGTTGTCTTCCACTGTTCCACACAGCTTGGTTTCCATTGGAATGCCAGCTGGCCAAACCTGGAATCTCTCTACTGCATGTACACAGCATGTCTGGAGCACTTATTCAGTATTCTGTGGTGCCTGTCCACATTGGTGAAGTTATGAATACCCAGTCTTGAATGTCTTTTACATATGACCTTCAGTCTGTTGTCTAGTCGGCAGTCTGAATATAATGGTCTGTATTTTTGGTGTGAGGATGTTGATTAGGTCTGCAAGATTGTGTCCTGGATGGAAAGTATTCCGCTGGGTTCTGATGGCTGCCTTGATTTTTTGAGTTTTTTCCCCCTCATAAATGCATCCTGTATCTGTCTGTTCTATGTGACCTCCAGTTTTGAAGTGAACATTTCTGGGTGCTTTATTAATATCCTACCCCAGATGACATCACAGGACAGTCCAACATTTTAGAGGGTGGTAAGACTGGTCTTCCCGGCTTTCTGATGCTTTTAGCGACCCCAAAACATCTAGAACTGACCCTACCCCCACAACCCACCTACATCCCACGAGAGAGCACAGCCTAGGTCACGCCACTGCAGGCAGCCTAGGTCTCAAGACTGCATGCAGCCTATCTACCACCCCCTGAAATATTAGACTGTCCCGTGACCTGTGAATTTTCCCTGTTTGGGGTAGGATATTAATAAAGCACCCATTTCTGACTTTTCTTCTATCACAGATAGCTGTTACATGTACTCATTACTTCCACATTCTTCATTTTACTCCTTCTGTCCCTTTGGTGTAATATTTTTTTTTAACTTTTGGACTTCTCTTTGGACTTAATCGGGAGTCGCCGTGGCAGAGCGGCTAGACGCTCACCACGGATGGAAAGGTCGTGTGTTCGCTCCCTGGCAGAACCTGACTTTGAAAAAAAAATTTCCCAGGTTGACCAAGCCTTGAGTGGGTACCGGGTGCCGTCCCGGGTAGTAAAGGTGGCTGTCGTGATGCTGACCACATCACCCATCTCGTGTCGATTGGTCTATAAAATATAGGTCTAGCCCTGTTTACCATATACGCCTAAAGGCGTGGAAAAGGGTCCTTTAATTAATTACTTACTTACTTTTTGGACTTAATCATTGCTTGCTTTAATCTAATATCTCTCAGACTGGGTAGAGTTAAAGGGATCACAGGGTAGTACTGAAATTGTTAACAAATGCCTAGTGCTGCCAACCTATCTGTTTTCTTGTTGCAATATTGTTTTGCTTTTGTAATAACATTGAGGGACCAACCATACTCATTTTCTTGTTGTAGGACAGATGGCGACTGCATCAGTCAGCTGCTGTAAGCACACATTTTGTCGCTTGCTTACTTGTTGTAGCTTTTTTGTGTTGATGGCGTGCCTTCTGTTCTCAACAATTACATCATTGATATGATCCTGACTGTAGTATCATTTGTGTTGTGCTGACTATATGTATTGAATTTTTCTTAGCTGTTGTGTGTAGTTCAGGCCAGGCATTATTTATTGTTCACTGTAGGCAGTGTATAATATTGTTCATCCTACGTATTACATAGTATTCACTCTAGCAGTATATTTTATTCACCCAAGACATTAAAGTTTGTTCAACCCAAGGCTCACTGTAGTTATCCACCCTGGGCCTGATATATTTTTCATCCTACATATGGATGACCTGGACAAGTAAAAACAGCCGGCATAATGCTGACCACATTACCCACCTAGAGCCGATTGGTCTGTAAAAACATGGGTGCTCTTCCCATATGCCCGATGCACCTAAAAGTGTGAAAAGGGATCTTTATTTTGCTTTACTTAGCATTACATAGTATTTACTCTAGGCAGTATATTTTATTCACCCAAGGCTTTAAAGATTGTTCAGCCTAGGCTGCCTGTATTTTCCACACTGGGCCTGACTTATTTTTCTTCCTAGGCATTGGCTATCGTTCTTCAAAGGTATTGTACATTGTTGTTTCTAGGCATTGGATATTGTTCTTCCTAGGCATTGTACATTGTTCTTCTTCCTAGGCATTGTACATTGTTCTTCTTCCTAGGCATTGTACATTGTTCTTCTTCCTAGGCATTGTACATTGTTCTTCTTCCTAGGCATTGTACATTGTTCATCCTAGGCATTGAACATTGCTCATTCTAGGCATTATACATAGTTCACCTAGGCATTGAATTTTGTTCTTCCAAAGTATTGTATAATGTTCTTCCTAGGCATTGTACATTGTTCTTCCTAGGCATTGTACACTGTTCTTCCTAGGCATTGTACATTGCTCATCCTAGGCATTGTACATAGTTCACCTAAGCATTGGATTTGTTCTTCCAAGGTATTGTATATAGTGTTCTTCCTAGGCATTGGATATTGTTCTTTCTATGCATTTTTCATTTTTCTTCCTAGGCATTGCACATTGTTCTTCCTAGGCATTATACATAGTTAACCTTGGAATTGAATATTATTCTTCCAAGGTATTGTATAATTTTCTTTCTATTTGTTAAAGATTTATCTTTCAAGGCATTGAACATTGTTCTTCCTAGGCATTGAACATTGTTCTTCCTAGGCATTGTACATTGTTCTTCCTAGGCATTATACATAGTTCACCTAGGCATTGGATATTGTTCTTCCAAGGTATTGTATATAATGTTCTTCCTAGGCGTTGGATATTGTTCCTTCTAGGCATTGTACCTTGTTCCTTCTAGGCATTGTACATTGTTCTTCCCAGGCATTGTACATTGCTCATCCTAGGTATTATACATAGTTCACCTAGGCATCATATATTATTCTCTCTAGACATACATTTTACATTCTGTTTAAATGTGCCCAATGTAGATTTTTTTACTGGCTCATACATTATTTGGTATTGTTTTATACTTTTCTTTTAAGCATGATTGGTGTAGTTAATGTACCTTTTCCTTGCTTCAACCCCACATGTTTTGTCTTGTCAGTAGTTAACTCATACATTCATTACTTCTCTCATATACTATTGTTAACTGAGTTTGCCTTAGGGGGTTGCCAGTTTGCAGTGATTAATGTACAGACCAGTTTGGGTTAACATAATGACTGTCGGTGGCAGAAATAGAATCACTGGCAGTGGTTCAAGACAGGAGTAATTGGATGAATGGCTAGAACAGAGTCAGTTATTGTACCAGCTATCTGAAACTTTCATGGCTAAGGTTCTGGTATGTGTGCCGGCTCTCTGGCTTAATGTCCCTGTCCTCACAGACAGGCGGCTTCTTTCGACCTTGTTCCCTGTGTCTTCCTTTTATCCCTGTCTTCCTGGAGTTTTTCGTCCTGGGTCATCCTCCATTTGGTTCAGTTTCCTTATTATCTTGCTCTTGTCTCCTCTGTTGTGTATCCGGTTCTGTTCCTCCATTTTTTTAGCCAGGCGGTGAAGGACTAGATCTGAGTCATTTGTTTTACCAGCTCTCTATCTTTTTTGGGGGGGGGGAAGGTATGAACCATCTGCCTTCCTATCAAGCATGTTCTTGAAAGGTGACCAATTAGGGATTTGTCTTCCAAAGTTGGAGCGCATCTGCCTAAGATGCAAAGGACCAAGAGTCTGCATACAAATAGGTAGAACTGTAAAATGGATGTGCATGCAGAATTCAAGTTCTGGAACAAGACTAAAATCAGAAGTGGATGAACAACCAGAAATTTCCACTGTTGTTCTGAAACAGGCTGGAGTAGTTGAATCAGTCAATATAGCTCCTGTCTCAAATAGAAATGGTGTCAAAAGCAGTGGTTCTAGACAGGAGTAGTTGACAGAATGACTAAAACAGCGATTAAATATACAACCACCTGATACACAAATGGAATCACTAGCATTAGTACAGAGCAGGAGTAGCTGTCTTAGTGACTTAAGCATAATAAGTTAATTTAGCCACTGTCGGCTGTCTATACCACTGTCAGAATACACGATAGCCTGCTGACAAATCACCTCAGCTGGGATCGAACCAAGTGCCCCAGGTATTATGAAGAGTGTTTACAGTACAACACCCAGGTCACATACGCACACCATAAAAGGTGACTGATTAAGGGTTTGCTGAAAATCTGATGTAATGGGTTTAAAAGGTTCATATATTGCAACCTAGCTGTAAACCACAACACAACATGCCAGCTGCCCTTGATGACTGCATATGTGTGATAACACTTTTCCATGTCAGAAAAAAAAAAGTTAAAAAATAATAATAGTAACATAGTTGGTGAACGCTAAGACTGATGCTGTTACTGTCTGTCCTACAACAAAAAGATGGGTATCGTTTGTCCTTTAATGTTATTACAAAAGTGAAACAATGTTGCAACAAGAAAACAGGTTGGTGGCACCAGACATTTGTTTACTTGCTGTAACTTTTTATTGTAATTTTGTTTTTGAATCTTTTGTCCCCAATGTTGCATGACAGAACTGTAATGTAGTGTCTTCTTCTTCTTATTGTTTACCGGCAGTAAACTCTAGCAGAAAGGTCTGGATGTTCACCCACTTCTGGACTTTGGTCTTGTTCTAGAGCTTGAGTTTTGTATGCACATTCCTATTTTCAGATCTGGCTTATTTTGTATGTAGACTGTTGGTTTCTTGCCTCTCAGGCAAATGTACTCCGACTTGGAAGGAAACACCTATAATTAGTCTTTTACGACATGCTTGTCAGGGGCTCAGTAGGTCTATTCCCCCCCCTTCCCCCCCCCCCCCCCTCAAACAATGGGGCCCCTGAATCCACACAGGAAATAGTGTGAGGTAACAAACAAGTACAGACTCAGCTAAACATAGTTGTGTTATCTGTACTTTCTTGTGCGCTGCTGCCATATTGGAGTTCAGATTCCATTATGATTTGGCATGCTATGTCATTATACAGTGCTGGACATATATTAGGTCACTGCTGCCCCCCCCCCCCCCCCCCCCACACACACACAAAAAAAACTGTATTTACTGCCTGTATGTACCAATTTTTGTGGTGTAGACAAGGGGGTCTTTGAGATTATTTATGGCCTCATGGCTAGTGCTATCGCAGCGGACTGCAGATTATGTTTTTTTTTTTTGCCACCTACAGAAAAAAATCCCTGGCCTTGCCGATGGATTCGAACCTGGGTCTTCTCCTGCATGAGAACCTTGCATTCTTAACCACTTGGTCAGCCACTCCTCTAATAAGTCACTACTTTGTGAATTCCGGCTAACCAACATATTTCCTTGTCGCCTTTTCCCCCCTAGAAAATTTTTTGATTTGGCCCATAGGTCAACAGTTGAATAGCCCTGCCATGACCATTGAACTAGCCACTGTGCTTTATTTGAGTGGGTCAGCAGAAGTTAGTCATCACAGAAGTTATAGAATGATACAGCATATAATTTGTGTCCTTTATTGTAGGGTTAGTTGGTTGTCGTCTGTACTGATGTCCTTTGTTAAAATTATTATATGTATTTCTGTTTACTGTCTGGCCAGCTTTGTCTTCTTATATATTACAATTTTTTTTTCTCTGCAAGCTGCATTATCTATACTCTAATTGCATTTGTAACTATGTAATTTTTTTTGGGGGTTGGGGGGGCTTTATTTATATGTAGTTCTCTCTCACTCACTCACTCTCACTCTCTCACTCTCTCTCTCCTCTCACTCTCTCTCGCCTCTCTCTCTCGCCTCTCTCTCTCTGAGTAGGAAGATGTAGCTAAGGCGGTAGAAGAACAAAGCACTGTCTAGAACAGATGAATTAATGCAAAAATAGTATTAAAACTAGGCCTCTCCAAAACAGGTGAGTTACGCTGTAACTAGCAAGAAAAGAAAATTGATGACTTAAAGTAATAAGAAGAAACATTTGTCCGGAACAGATGAGTAATAACTATGTTTTTTTTTCAAAAATAAGGCCAGGTCTCATAGTAATATTTGCTCCAAAAGACATATTAGGGCTTATTTTCAGGGGACATTTTTCAATTAAAAAAAATATTCATTTATTCTGGTAACAGAAATATAAATTTCTTCTAATACAGTCATGTCATTTTTCTCTGGAACATTATTACAATCCATTTCCTATTTAATCTTTTTAACAAGAGCTTATATTGTGTGCTAGCGCTTATTTTCAGTTTTAAGTCTACGTCGCTTAGTGCAACAAAGCCTGGCATATGATATCACAACATTTAGTTTGAGAATGAAGGTGGAGGCAGTCACTGCTGCCTTCTGCTGGCTTGTGAGTGCCCTCTGGGAGTGAGTGAACAGTGTGGAAGTGCAAATAGATCATTACGGTCTGAGGAGAATGGCTCTGCGAGGAGTTACTAGGGGATCTGGCCGACGCTCAGCACCCAAGGGAAGGGAGAAATGATATACAGTCAGACAGTTACATCGGAATTGGAACTCTTCATTTGTTGCTGATGATGGGGATGAAGCGCTTATGAGGGTGTCCAGAGTGCTATGATATTGATTCTTAATTCAACATTCAGGTTAGGTCTTATGTTCAGTGAAGCACATTAGTTATGAGGGTACATGAGTTGAGTAATTTTGACTGTGAATGTTTGCTGTAATCAAATCTGTATTTTTAACATGCCTAGAAATACTTGTTATTTTCACCAGGAAAGCTCACAGTCAGGAACCCTGTTGGACCTAGCTGGATCCAGCACATCTGGGGCTCATGCTTCTGCTAGTGCAGACCCCTGGGGCATGCCTGTTCAGTCCAGCCAACCTGCCGATCCATGGGGCAGTCCTCTGCCTAGGTCATCTAAGACGACACCAGCTGATCCCTGGGGTTCCAGCGGTGCGGCTGGTTTACAGTCCCCAGCCTACTCCCCAGTGCATGGATCTTCTGCCAGCGCCAGTTCTCGAACTCCTGCACCAAAAAGCGCCGACCCTTGGGGAATGCCAGTTAGTGCCCCAAGCCCCCCAGCCAATTCTGGTGAGTGGGTGTTTTGTCTCCCTTTTTTTAATGCTTCTTGTTTGCATTGTCCTCTCCCCCCCCCCCCCAACTGGAATAATGCTAAATTAGAATTATCAGAGAAGTTTTATAATTCATTCTCAATGTGGGTCTCTGGGTCCCATTCTGGGAAAGGGGGGGGGGGATACAATAAATAGACCCTCTGACCTTTAACAGGTCCTAAAAGGTGACTAATTAAGGATTTTCTAAAGTTGGATGTTTTGAACTGAATGGTTCAGATATTGCAGCCTAGTTGTTAACCACAACACATCACGCCAACCACCCTTGTAAGGAGGAATGCAGAAAAGGACAAATTTATTTCCCTGTCTATTTTACTGATTGAACAGCTGAACAGTCAGAAGTAGAAGTTTCAGCTCAGGTCATCCTTCTACTCATATTCTTTAATGAAATGGATGAATCTGGTTATAACATAATTTCTTTGTTTATTTGGTAAAATCTGTTACACTGCATTTAGAGACATACGAACATTGCTCTGTCTCTCCCCGTTTCTACCACTACCTTATTTTTTATCCAATGCTTCTGAGCTGCAGTTGAGGCTGTTACCTATGATGGGCCATAAGTGAAGTTTCCTTTACATGCCTGTGGTGCATCGCACAAATGAGGCTTTTTTTTTTTTTTATAGACCTCGATGGGTGATATAATCAACGTCACACCAGCCCCCTTTTCTTCCCAGGACATTTTCCTTCCTACCGATTTAAGGCTTGGGGTGTTTTAAAAACATCAAGCTTCATGTGGATTTAAACCCACAACCTTCGTATCCACAGGCGAGCATCTAGCTTCCTTGATTTACTACCATACAGACAGTATCATTGCTGTTTTATTATATGGCCAGTGTCCTACTTATCCTGTTCGTACAGTGAGTCAGCAGTAAACTACAGTACATTAAGAATTATGTTTTTTGCTGATTTACTGTACTAACAGTGTTATAAGTGCATATTAGGTACAGCCAGTGTTACATTTGCTGCCTGTTTTCTGTTTAGCCAACATTGCTAAGTTACTACTGTTTTACTGTATAATCAATATTTTATTTGATTCACTGTGCAGCTAGTATTAGATTTACTGTTTTTTACTGTAAGTAACTGTGAAGGCCTAACACTTCGTACCCTAGATTGTGGAAGGTAATTAACTAGAGGTTTGGGGAAATTTGAATTTTCAGTCCAAAAGATGCAGGTATTACAGTTTTCTTCTTCTCCTTCATGTTCGCAGACTGTAAACTCTGGCAGAGAATTCTGGTTGTTGTCCACTTCTGGACTTTCGTCTTGTTCCAGAACTTGAGTTTTGCATGTACATCTTTTTTCTTTTAGAGATCTTGCTTAATTTTATATATATGTGTTTGTGAATCTCTGTGTGTGTGTTATATAAGACTAACATCACTATGTACATTAATGTTTTGGATACCGAGGAATGCATCCTGATCACAATTCACACTATCTTTTTTGGATACATGAATGCATCATGCATTGATTAATAATGTATTTAACTGTTTCATCTTCCATCCACCCCATTGCTCTCATTTCCCTTACGGCACAGGCGCGTGGTCGAGTGCTAGCCCTGTTCCCCAGGCGTCTGCATGGGGAGGTTCATCCTCCACACCGCAGCTGCAAGGCAGTGTTGGCGGAAACTTTGATCCTTTCGGATTGCCCAGAGGTCCTGTCACAAATGGAACATCCACTAACAATATAGACAACGAGTTTGACTTGCTGGGCACTCGTAGCCCAGAGGCATCGCCGATCAAACCTTATCATGGTCTGGGTGAATTTGATCTGCTTTCAGGTAAGATAACTACTAAAACAATTACTAATAAACTGCATACCTTCATTAACTGGTGCCTGCACAGAATAGAGAGGATTAAATGATATGATAGAATCACTAATGTTGAGCTGTGGGAGAGAACTAAATGCCTGTGAATCAAGAGGTGAGGAAAAGGTGCTGGTTTTGGATAGGACACACATTGAGAAAACCTGAGAACAGTATAACTAGGAAAGGTTTATTTAAATGTGTGCTAAGCTATGCAGGTGTTCAAGGCAGTGAGCATTCAGACAAGGCGGTTACCATGACCGGCCTGGCACTGGACCTGAGTAATGTCGTTAATGCCATTCGAGCTGCATATCACAAAGAAAATCCCAAAAACATGCAGGATTCCACATCATTGTCAAATTTGGTGTACATGGGAGTTCATCCTGGAGTGCCAGATATGAAACTTTCATCAAGTGCACAAGGCATCTGATTAACTCTTTCAGTCCCAAGGAATGCATGATACGTTCACAGGTTCCTACCTAGAAGCCCAGAGAACGTGAGATGAGCCGATTTTATGTCTCTCTTGACTAACCCTTGAGCCTCTGATGCTAAACCCCTGGGACTCAAAGAGTTAATCAACACAAAACGGGCGCAATTACTCGTTTTACTCTTGTGGAGCTTTTGAGGAGGAGATCAGAACGCCTATTGATTTGTCCGTAGTGCTGTGATAATAGTCCTTAATAATCACCAATCAAATTAACTAACCTCTGGTTTATTGGTAGACTGAATTACTGTGTCATTAAATTATGTTTATCTAAGACATGTCACCAACATGACAAATTTGGAAAGCTCTTATCTCGTGCTGGGTCACCATCTCCAGCAGAAAGCATTAGCTCATGTGACAACATTTTCTTCATGCCATGATTTTTTTTTAAAAATGCCCAGAAATGTCTCTTTCTGTATTTATTTTTCCATTGATCTTTCGACTTGCTATAATATACATGTATTCCAGTTGTTTTTGTTGTTGTATAGTATCTATCTCTTGCTCACTTGCCGTCAGCTTTCCCCTTTAATATGTTTTTGTTGTTATTATTAAAATATAAGAGTGCTATGCCATATAATGTGGCCAAAATATTGTCTTTTATTTTTTCGGCTACTCAGTATGTTTTAACTCCAACTGTGTTCAGAACCTCTGTCTGTGATTATATTTTTACCCATCAGATGCTACCTATTCGGTGCTTTCTTAATATCCTACCCCAAACAGGGGAAATCCACAGGTCAGGGGCAGTCTAATATTTCAGGGGGTGATAGATAGACTGCATACAGTCATGGGACCTAGGGACCTAGGCTGCACTCTCTCAAGCATCAGAAAGCTGGGCAACCTAGTCTTACCACCCTCTAAAATGTTGGACCGTCCTGTGTCGTCATCTGGGGTAGGATATCACGAAAGAACCACCTATTCTTCTGTATCTACATTTCTCCAGTCTCAGTTTGACTTTCTGATTGTGCTTTCTCAGTACAAAGTTTTAAAAATGACGTGTATTCTGTGGCAGACTGTTCATAACTAGGTCAGTTATAAGACAGTAGTCACTCTGCCTTGAACCTCTGACTGACTCCACTCATAAACTTGCAGGTGAAGCATGCGTTGCCATAGTAGTCTTTCATTCACCAATGAATTCCTGTAAGTTTCACCCCCTTCACTGATTTGTGTGTGTGTAAAAAAAAAATGCATAAACTCTGCTCCTCTTAGGTGCATGTCCAAAGTGGGCCGCCATCTTTATACTGTCATTATGATGACACCATATTTGTTTGCACCGTTATATCACATGCTTAACACTCTTGACATCATTAACAACAATATTGACAGGTTACAAGACAATGACATGGTTATTTTAATTTCTGTCACACTTTTAAAGTTTTCATTTGGAGCCCTATCCATTTCCTTAAAATAAAATTCTCAAAAATTAAAAAGCTGTCCATATCATCACTGCTTTCTCTGTACCCAGATGGTTCCCAGGCTAATGGATCTACCAGTGATGTTTTTGATCTGGACCCACTCAACAAGAACTTGCCTGAGAAAAAGAAATCTGCTGAGGCATTTTTAGGTGGACATGCAAATTTAGTGAACTTGGACCAGCTTGTGTCCAGGGCACCTCCCAAAGGTCTGTATGTTTATGTGTGTGTGTGTGATAGCTGACATAGGAGATTTTCTTTGAAGCTCTGACAAATAGGTTTAATATTGGTAATTTGGGGTGCTGACTCCAACGTGGACATGGGCTGCAATGTTATGTTGTCACAGTCGACGTTCCTGCACTTTGGGCATTCAAAGCGCTCAGTCCTTCCATGCGGCAGTCACTTCAAGGTACCTTTACTGACTGTTCTCATGAGACGTTGGTTATCTTCTGTCTTGACCTCGAAGATGGCACTGATGTTTTTCACCGGGTTTCATTCCCACGTCATGTAATTGTGTTAGCACCAGATGTTTGTCAATATACCAGACCAGTACATATATAGGATTGATGATTCAGCTCTGTACATTCATCAGGCCACATGCATTGGTGCAGTACTCGCTAATTGGTCCGCACATTCATTACCTTTTACACAGATGTGTAGATTCAGGTGTAGGAGGTAAAGTGGGATTTACTATTTCTGTTTGACTGTATGAAAATCCACTGCTATCTTTGTTAGGTTTAATATGGGAACTGAACGAGTGGCACCTTTCCAGACAGCAGTGTTAAATTACACTATTAGGAGGCATAAGACTCACAGCCGATGGCCGTGGCGAGTGTGACTAGCAAGACCGGCCGTGTTCAGAAAAGTGTTCCACAATTAGATATAGGATTTCAGGACCTTTGTTGCTGTCATTTATATTTAGTGTATTTCTTCTCAGACGTGAGCTGTCATTCTTTCTGCAAGCAGGTTTCTTCCTTCATTCTCATTTCCTTCCTGATTTTTTTTCCCCTGCACGCAATACGGTCCTTAGCATTTTTTGGGGAACTAAATATTTGGGAAATCTGGAGTTAGCCTTTGATGATATCCAGGTTGGGCACTGGTAGGATAGTTGCACTTGTAGGACAGTGTTACTGTTAGCACAGTGTTAGTATGGTATATTAGTGCGCTGGCTCGTTGTTATTTTGTGTCTATTTCCCGATTTATGCTATGAAATTTATGCATTTATGTAATTATTAACTTGTTACTTACAAAAGTATCACTCACACTGTTCATATTTGTAGATAAGGCTTATAACAATAATTTAATACATTTTTTTGTATAATAATTTAATGATTTTCACTTTCATTTCTCCATTTGTAAATGTGCGTGCTTGTTTTATACATAAAAAGTATGTGAGTATGTATGAGTGCATGTGTGTATGTTATTTTTTTATGTTTCCCTTCAACTTTATAGAATCCTACACCATCTTGCCCTTCCCAAAGTAATAACTTCTTGAAAGTGCTTGCATTTTGCTTCTTATTCCGATGATAATGCCATAGACGTGTCAGTTAAATTACTAGTTAAATTCCATTCAGATTATTACAAATTTTTAGGTTATATTACTGCTGATATTCTAATTATATTACTGTTTATACTGCAGTTGTGTTACTGTATTATAGAAACCCAGATATCTGAGTTATTGTGCTATTAAAGTCATTTTTATATTATTATTAAATGCCAGTTATATATGTAAATTTTTTAAATCCTAATTTATACCATTAAAATCCACGTTGGCTGTATGGTACTAGACCTATATTTTCCACAGACCAGTCTTTCTGTATGTATTGATCTTGAATATGCTTAGAGTCAACTTATAGGGATGTTTTGAATTCGGAGTGTATCTGCCAGTGAGGCAGGAGCCGACCGTCTGCATACAGATAAGCCGCATCTGTAAAATGGATGTGCATGCAAAACTCAGGTTCTCGAACGAGACTAAGTCGAGAAGTGGATGAACAGCCAAAACTGTTACCAGAGTTGACAACCAGTGTACATGTAGAAGAAGAATATAAATTTGTTTTGGTCAGACAGCAAAGTTTTCATTTTCAGAAATGTTGGTATTTTTTTTTTTCAGTGTTAATAAATAATGCTAATAAATTAAAACATGTGTGCATTGAAGTAGCAAGGCATAAGTAAATGTAGCTTCCATATACTGCCATAGAAAAATAGTGGTAGCTGCATTATATTTGAGATTCTGAGAAAGGCAACCTCCATTTAGAGTGGCAAGCATCCCTTCAGAGGTGCCCAGTAGTCAGCATTCTTTGAGTAATTTCTCAAAGAAAAAAGGAACATGCAGACTGATTGGCTTTTACTGCACCACTAATTGGTGGCGACTTGATGCGTGAAAAGACAGATTTGATCAAGGTTCTTTGGGAGCAAGTGAACGATGTGAAAGTGGGAATAGATCATTACAGTGTGGAGAGAATACTGTGATGGGGAGTGATCATGGGATCTGGCCACTGTACTACGCTCAGAGGAAAGACAAGATGGATATCTGTTCCAACTGCTACTTGTACTATTGGAATAGAAATCTTCTCTGGCTTCTTTTCTGAGGACAGAGTATGTGTGTGAATGCCCTGAGTGCTATGATTTTTGTTGTTGTTGACTTGACTCAGCTCAACTCATTAATAGAAAATGACTTATTTCCATGCCTTGAGATGTATTGCTTTGCTCTTTTGTATTTTTTTCATAGCCCATCAGCACTTGTTGGGTATGAGGGTCAGTATTATACAGGCTACCTTTACTTCCCATAACATTTCCTAGTACCTTTTATTAGAAAGTTTTACCTTATGATAATCTTGCTCTACTTTCATTAACAACCCTTTGGAGACTGTTCAAGTTTCTCCCATATTTATCTCAGAAATTACATTTATACTGCCTTCAGGCTCTAACATTCATTTAGTGAAGACATATTTCTAATGGAGCCTCTAAATTTGTACCTAAAATACAAACATTTTAAAACCATATCTAGATGTGTTGTACCATCTTAAACAAAATAAATCTCCTTTTTTTTTTTTTTCAGGCAACAATCCCTTTGCAATGACTGTAGGCCTGAACAACCCCTTTCAAGTTCCAACTGCGGGTGTACGGATGCCGATGGCACAGTTGGCCCCAAGTAACTCTCCAGGTTTCACCCAGCCAGTTGGTGCCGTGCTCCTGCCTGCCCCTCTGCTTCCACTGGGCCCCACACAACCTATGCAGCCATACACACAACAACAGCAGCAGAGTTACAACCCCTTTTTATAAACTGGACTACCTTCATGTTTTGTTGAATCTTCTGGATGTGTGATACGATAGCCCGAGAAGCAAGCTTATATTTGTATATGCAGGTCTAATGTGTATATCTGTGAAAGAAGGATGAATTGTTTTTTGTTGTTTTTCTACTTCTCTGTACATAAATGAATGTACCCAGTTATTTTGTGAATATATTCACTACAAATTCTGCCTTGTGACTGTGTTTATTACAGATGTTAATGCCAACTCATATACAAAGGACACAAGAGAAATACTTTCACTTTTGATTGACGTGGGTGAAATACTAGAGAGTGGTAAATACTTTCACTTTTGATTGACGTGGGTGAAATACTAGAGAATGGTTTAGTTGTTCTTCTACCTTCTCCCTACACTGTTAGGAATTTCAGTGTTAGGTAGGAAATATCTTTTTGGGCTGGGCTTTTGCGTGTGCTGTCTACAAGAAGGAGTCCTTTGCCTCTTCTATTCCATTAGTTCATCACTTGTGCTGTTTGTCTCATTTCTTCACATTAGAGAAACTGCAGAGACAGTTTTTGAAATGCAGTTCAAATGGGCTTAATAGAATGATTTTAATCTGAGAATCGTGATAGAATGTGCTGAAAAAATGTAGTTGCTAGCTGACGTGGCTATAAAACAGAGCTTTCCAGACTGTGTAGCGGCCAGTTTTTAGTGTGTCGGCTGGAAGTGTAGAGGTGTTTCATAACATAAAGCACTAAACATAATAACTGGCACATGTTGAACCTCAACCTCAGGTTTGCTAGTAGACTGATTTACTGTGTGGCAGAATTATATTTTTCTAAAAAGTGTCGTACAACATGAAAAATTTGGAAAGCTGTGCTATAAAACATGAGTTTTTACAGAATATAATAAATGATACAGTTGAAAACCTCGACCACACTCTGATGAATTGTTTCTGATTGAAGATAATCAGCTATGAAAGTTCAAGGGAAGACAATTCTTGTGGAGCAGATGTGCCATTTAAAGCCGATTATCCCCCTTATATTGGGTACTGGCAACAACAACAATTAAAAATTGGTCCAAAAACCCCTTAACAGGCATGTAGTGAAATGTGACTAATTAATTGTTTTCTGAAATCAGACATGTGCAGACAGATATTTCAGCCCATCTATAAACAGCAAGCCAGCAGCCATGTTCAGGGCAATGCTACAAGAAGAAGAAGAGGAAGATAAAGAAAACTGCTGGTGAACATACATTTCTGTACAGGAATGTGTACCTAAAGCTATCTAAATGTTATAGTAATTTTATTTAGTTTCCGAGTTCAAGAGTGTGTACCATGAGCAGTCTAAACCTCATAGTAATTTCGTTTGTGTTTGAAAAGTGTTTCTGGGGTATGAAATGTCAATTTACAGCCTTGCGGCCTCATGTATTGTCAGTCATGATGGCTGTTTTTTTAATGCCACGATGCCAAACTGTCCAGCACATTTTCTCTTGGTCTGCCTTTTGTCTCTTTTCCCCTGCAAGTTGGCTGTTGTAACGATGTACTCCAGTTTTCCTTTTCCCACAGCTTGCCTAAGGAATGTAGATTGTCTTCTTGGTTATGAAGACAAATACAATTGGACACAGTGAAATTGGGCATGTTGAAAGATAAAGTCTTCAGTAGAAAATCGTTTAGCTGGAAAGGATGTACCAGGGATGCGGAGAGGAAGAAGATGGCCAGAATGCAGATGAACTTTGGTTGGTGATTTATACATGACAGCATTAGAGAAAGGACATTCCCTTTTCATGATAGAAATGAATTTCGAATGACTGTTATGATGGGGAAGTCTGCTACTGGATGATGCTAATATGAAACATACATTGACCCCAGACACTACGATTTCTTGACTACACTGTCTAACTGACTCACCATATATTCATTAGATACTCCTATAAGGTAGACGCTCGCCGTGGAATGGAAGTTCGTGGGTTCGCTTCCTGGAGGAACCGGACTTTTTTTCAAAAATGACCTTGGCTCCCAGATCTACCCAGCCTTGAGTGGGTACTGGGTGCAGTCCCGGGAAGTAGAGGTGGCCGGCGTGATGCTGACCACATCACCTATCTTGTGTCGATTGGTCTTTAAAAATATAGACCTAAAGGTGTGGAAAAGGGTCCTTTACTTTACTTACTCTATATAGCACATGGGTGTTTCGTTATAGACTTGATAAACAAATTAACATGTATTAGTTAGGATTCAGAAAGAGGCAGAGATAGTACACACTAGATAACATACAAATCCAAAGCTGTATTTACCATCCCAAGACTGGAACCTGTCGCCTTCAAATGAAACGGCAGCTACAGCCAGTGTGTACTATCTCTACTTCTTTGGATGAGCGCCAATCAGTGCTTGATAATTTGTTCATCTTAATGTTTATATGGCATCAGAGGTTCCCCAGCTAATTATTTGTGTAATAAAATTGACATTGTTTGGGTCCCTTACATGGTTTGTCCAGAAATTTGACATTTTTTTTTTTTTTTTTTTTTTTTGCGTGGTCTTGTGAAAAGCTTGTATAAGCTGTGCATTCATAGTATTCAGGCGAAGCAATATAAGTGTTAGGCTGATAATAAAGATCTCTTATGACTGACTGTTGAAATCTCTTGAAACTGACAGTTCATATGTCTTATATGACATATGTCTTTCTACAGTTCAGATCTGTTATAACTGACAGTTCAAATCTTTTGTAACTGACGATTCAAATCTTTTGTATCTGACAATTCATATCTCTTATAACTACTTATTGTTTTATTTTCCTTAGAACTCACCAGCTGTAAACTTTGGCGGAAAAGTTCTGGTTGTTCATCCAATTCTGGCTGTTCATCCACTTTTGGTCTTGTTCCAGAATTTGACTTTTAGTGCACATCCATTTTACAGATCTGGCTTATTTGTGTGCAGACTGTTGGTTCCTCAGGCGGATGCACTCTGACCTGAATAGAAACATCCTTGGTTAGTTGACTTTTATGACATGTTGTTAGAGGGCAATGTTTAACCCCTCCTCTCCCATCCCACCACCGACACAGCGGAAAAATGTTTGAGATGATTTACGTGTAGTAACATTTGACACATTTCATGGTTAGGATCAGTTTCATTGCACCTGTTTTAATCCCTGAATGGCTAGCTGCCTTTTGAGAGTGTAGCAAAGAACACAAACTCTGTAGCTCCAGTGATGACACCCAGGTATCTCCGTAAAAATTGCACTCATAAAACGAATTCACGACCTTCAGAGCGCGAGGCTTGACCACTATGCCATGAAGACCCCTTTAAAAGACGATGAATGTGCAGATTTGTTGTCTCTTGAATGATTGTCATGCCACCCATTGCATAGGAATCTGTGAAACAATATTGTTCTTCTTCTCTACTCATCCTGAATATGGTGGCCAGCATATTTTGTTATGGTTTACAGTTGGTCTGTGATATCTGCATCTTTCGGCCAAACATCAAATTTAGGCAAACCTGTTAAGTAGTCGCCTTTCACAGGATCATTTTAGTGGGTCTCTTCCTAAATGTTTATGTTTATTCGATGGATCAACATCAAGGCACAACAAGGTTAGTAACTTATAAGTGCTCCTTTCTACTTCTAACTCAAGCCTGAGTCTGAAGAATCTCAGCGCAGTGCATGTACTGCATTGCACCGGTGAGGATCCTGAAATACTTTGGGTAGATTTGTAACTCGAGATTTTGCCAGGGCAGCGCTGTTGGATGGCTGAGTGGTCTAGAGGTATGTTGTCTGCCTCGAGTGCTGGAGGTCCCGGGTTCAAGCCCCGGTGAAGACTGGGATTTTTTTCTCATGTGGACTTCTCCCTGGTCTCTGAGTAGTAAGGTCGGGCGCCTGTGTGTATTCTTTAGCACGTAAAAAATCCCTTCCTAAATGGGTCTCTGAAACCCACACAAGGATGACAGAATATGAATGTGTTAAGTTGATGTGTGTCGAATTATCTCATCAAATGTAATAGTTGACACAGCACCAAAACATAGATTTTAACTTCTCTAGTTCATTGCATATGTCATTTTATGTTTCAATATTAATAACATTATATGTACCATAAGACAAAAATATATATAATCTGGAAAAGTCATTTTTTTGGAGTGGTTTTGTTCTACAGTGCTAATTCTGTGCCTGATGTTTTTATATATTTATTTTACACTGAATATTGGGGAGTCACTGTGGCGTAGCCGCTCGTATGCGGATCAGAAGGTCGCGGGTTCCCTCCCTGGCAGAGCTGGACTTTTTTCAAAAATGAACTTGACTGTCAGGTAGACCCAGCCCTGAGTGGGTACCGGGTGCAGTCCCGGGAAGTAAAGGCGGCCAACGTGATGCTGACCACATCACCCATCTTGTGCTGTTTGGTCTATAAAACATAGGTCTAGCCCTATATGCCCTACACGCCAGAAGGCGTGGAAAGGGGTCTTATATTTTACACTGAATATTAGTTTTGTTTAAATATTCAAATAGATATAGTACTGAGCATTCAGATTTTGAAAGATCAACTCTTTTTCTTTTTATTTTACAACATGTGGTAGGGATTATGATTAGGAAAAAAATGTCTCTTATAAAGGTTTGGAAGCAGTAAAAGTGGTTGTGTTTAATTTATTTTGCCTGTGTGTGCAATGTGCAAAGGTCATTTGCTAAGGGCACAGTAATTTGCAGAAAAGTCATTCTCTTATGTGCAGTTCAGTGCTAGCTATGTGAATTGTGGTGTTTTCTGTAATCTGCTCTCTTACCTACAGGCTCAAAGATGTTGGGTTCAAATCAACACCAGGGTCTACTTGTAATAATCGATCCAGGGCAGTCCAGCCTAAAACGGGTACCAAGAATAGTCCTGGGAAGTAAAAGTGACTAGCATAATGTTGACCACCTCATCCATTGAGATTTGATTTGTCTTTAAACAAATGGGTACTGCACCATGCCAGAGGCACTGTCTCTAGTGTCTGGATTTACCATTTTTTAAGGCAGTATAGACAGGGGGTCATGACCCTGAGGATTCAGAAAAGCATGGCT